AGATATGAAAAATTGTGTTTTATATGTATAATAAGAATTGTAATGCATTCTGCTGTTATATATAAATTTAAAAAATTAATTTAAAAAAGTATTTCTCTATAAGTAATTATTTCAAGTGCAAATGGATTCAATCCCCAATCACAAAACACAGAATGACTGAAGATATTTTAAAAATTAAGATACAACTATATGTTGTTTATAAGAGACTCACTGTAGATTTAAAAACACACATAGCCTGAGAGTAAAAAAATGGGGAAAATATTTCTTGCAAATGGTAACCAAAAGAGAGCAGGGGTAGATATACTCGTATCAGAAAAAATGCACATTAAATTGCCAAAAATTGATACAAAGAGATAAAGAACAATATTACATAATAATTAAAGGGGTCAATTTACCAGGAATACATAGCAATTATACACATCAGGGTACACAAATGTCTGAAACAAACATTGAAAGAAATGAAGATATAAATATAAAGTATTGCATTAATCATAGGAGTTTATAAATACTCCATTTTCATAAATTGATAGAACATCCATTAAAAAATAAGTAATAATGGGGCTGGGGATGTGGCTCAAGCAGTAGCGTGCTCGCCTGGCATGCATGCTGCCGGGGTTTGATCCTCAGCACCACATACAAACAAAGATGTTGTGTCCGCCGAAAACTAAAAAATAAATATTAAAAATCTCTCTCTCTCTCTCTCTCTCTCTCTCTCTCTCTCTCTCTCTCTCTTAAAAAAATAAGTAATAAGAATAGTAAAGCAACACTATAGACCAGAAAATCTAAATAGACATATAAAAACTTTTCCACCCAACAGCAGCACCACTCACACATTCCCAGATATACATGGAGCTTTACGGTATTAGGGCACAAAGCAAGTCTTAACTAATTTAAGGTTGAAATCATATACCAAGTGTCTTTTCAAACCACAACGAAATGAAACTAAAATACAATGTCAGAAGGAAATTTTCAAATATGTGGAATTAAACAACACAATTTTATACAACTAGTGGGCCAAAGAATAAATCAAAAGGTAAATTAGCAAATATCTTAAGACTAATGAAAACAAAAACACAACATAAAAAAGTTTATATGATTCATCAAATAGATTCTAAGAAGAAATGTCATAGTAAATGCCCATATTAAAAAAAAGAAAAAAAGAGCTCAAATAAATAATCTAACTTTATACATTGAAGAACTAAAAATAAGAGTAAACTAAGTATACAGCAGAATAAATAATAAAGATTAAAGCAGAAATAAATAAAATATACAACAGGAAAATAATAGAAACAATTATTGAAACGATTGATTTTTTTTCATTGCATATATATGTTGTGTAATTTTTATTGTTGGTAAGAATCATTTTTTGAAAAGATCACCAAAAGTAAAAAAAATTTTAGCTCCATGCTATGGTTTAGTTCTGAATTTTACCTCCAAAGCTCTGTGTTGAAGGCTTGGTCCCCAGTACAGCAATGTTCAGAGATGGGGCTCTTAGGAAATAATTGAGTCCTGAGAGCTCAGAACTCATCAGTGGATTAATCCACTAATGGATTAATAATTTGATGGCATTTTTGGAAGGGGGTGGATACTGTAAGAGGTAGGTCCCATTGGAGGAAGTAGGTCACTAAGGGCATGCCTGCAGAGGTGTATCTTGTCCCTGATCTTACTCTTTCCCCACTCAAAACACACCTCTCCCTCTCCGCACCCCCCCCTCTCTCTCTCCCTCCTTTACCTCCTCTCCTTTCTGCCATGATATCCTGCCTGACCTTGGGCCCTGAGGAATGGAGTCAGCCATCTATGGACAGAGATCTCTAAAACCATGAGCCTCAAAATAAACTTTTACTCCTCCAATTGTTATTGTCAGTTTTTTTTAGTTACAGTGGTGCAAACCTGACTAAAACATGTGATCATCTCAATAGATGCAGAAAAATCAATTGACAAGATTTAACACCCACTTATAATAAAACACTATAAAAAAAACTATGAATAAAAGGAAATTATGTCACTCCAATAAAGGCCATATATGGCAAGCCCATAGCTGACATCATGGTCAATGATAAAAAAATGAAAACTTTTCCTTGAAGTTCAAGAGGAAGGCAAAGACACTCACTCTCAGAACTTCTATTCAACACAATACTGAAGTCCTAGCCAGAGCAATTAGTCAAGAAAAGGAAATCAGAGGCATCCAAATTAGAAAAGAAGTAACATTATCTCCATTCATAGACAACATAATCTTATATATTAAACACCATAGAGTCCACACACGTACAAATAGCTGTTAGAACTAATAACTTTAGCAAATTTTCAAGATAGAGAATCAACATTTAAAAATTGATTTCTTTTAGCATAAGAACAGAAATGTGCTATTGAAACAGAACAGAAAGCCCCGGGGGAAAAAAATATTCAGACATACATGACCAAATAATCTTCTACAAAAGTGCTGAGAGTGCACGATGGTAAAAGAATGGTCTCTTTAATAATTGGTACTGGGAAAACTGGATATTCACACGTGAAAAGAATGAAAGAGGATCCTTATTTTACACTATACACAAAAATCAATTTATGTTAGCTTAAAGACTTAAACGTGAGACCTGAAACTATAAAATTTCTGAAAGAAAATATAAGGGGAAATCTCCGTATCATTGATCTTGGCAATGTTTTCTTGACTATAATACCAAAGGAACAGGAACTAAAAGCAAAAATAAACATGTAGTGCTGTATTGAACCATAAAGTTTCTACACAGCAAACGAAGCAATTAACAGATGAAGCCAATCGAGCAAATGGGAGGAAATATTTGAAAATGATATATCTGATAAAAGTTGAGTATTCAAAATGGATAAGGAAATCCTACAACTCAACAACAAAAAATAAATAAATAATAACTTGGTTGAAAAATAAGCTAAGTATTTAAACAGATGTTTCTCCAAAGAAGATATCCAAGTAACCAACAGGTAGATGAAAAAAATAGTCAAGAACATTGATCATCAGGGAAATGTAAATCCAACCACAATGAGATACCACCTCACACTGGAAAATAACAAGTGCTAGCAAGGATATGGAGAAATTGCAGGTAGAAATATAAAATGGTATATGTAGCAGTCATGGAAAACAGTATCAAGGTTCCTCAAAAGCTTGAAAATAGACCTATCATAAGATCCAACTATCTTACCTCAAGGTATTTATCCAAACTAATTGAAATTAGGATCCGAAAGAAATACCTGTACTCCTCTGTTAATTGCATCATTATTCACAAGGATCAAGAGCTGGAAACAATCTAAATTTCCATTGGTGAGTGAGTGAATCAAGATTATATGGGATCTCCACCTTGTGGAATATTATTCAGCAATTTTAAAAAAGATGAGCCATGAGGGCCTTATGGCAAGTAAAAAAAAAATCACAGAAGAACGAATACTGCATAATTCTACTTACATATGATAGTCAAACTCTGAAAAGCAACAGGTAGACTGGTGTTTGCTAGGGACTAGAGGAGAAAGAAATGGGCAGCTGCTAACTGCTGGATGTGGAGTTTTAGTCACACAAAATGAAAAAATCCTAGAGCTCTACCATACAATGATGGTTTAAAATACTGTACCATGAACTTAAAATGTTATAAGGTCAGTATCATATTTTGCAATATCACAATAAGAAATAAACTTACAAAATTTTAGAGGGATACTAATATCAACTACCCTTTAGAAGCACATGGTGAGTTAGTGGCATGGCCCTGGCTAGCATCCATGTGTCCTGGTTCCCAGCTTGGTATTCATCGCAACTCATAAAGCATCTTTTGCCCAACTTGAGAAATACCCAGCTAATCACAACAGGCAGCGCAGATAAAGGTACAGGTGAGGGGAGGTGGAGGTAGGGGAAATGAAGACTTATCACCAGTCGACATACACTTCCAAGTTCAAGAGTGTTTTAGTGTCTATTTGTTTCCATTACAGAAATAATATCCATTTGTTAAAGGAACTATTGAAATTGAAATTACATAGAAACAGAAAAAGAAGAAAAAAGTATACTCCTATCCATTACATGCACAACCATTAATACTTGAATGTGTTTTCTTTTTGTCTTTTAATGAGTAGGTTGTTGGGTTTTCACTGAACCGTGTTAATTCTTAATGTCCAATTTTGTATCAGGCTTTTTTCACAATATTACAGCATAAGCATTTCCCATCCGTAGACAGCATTTTCTTTCATGGCTACGTAATGTGCTTTGATATCACTGTGCCATACAATACAATATTTCCAATTCTTTTCCCCACTTCAAATGGCTTTAAATGAACATATATCTATTTATACAATATTTCATAGTAACAGAGGTGGAATTATGAAATTAAATAACTTAGAGATGTTGAAGACTTTGACACATAGTATCAATTCACTGTAATATTTTATTAATGTGCAATTACAAAAAATTCTGGAGGTAGAAATAGAGGTAAAATTAGAGGTCAGCCAATTCCAAAAGCCCCAAATGTGGAATGTTTTCTCTGATATAAGGATGCTGATTCATAATGGGGTTTGGGTGGGGAGAGCATGGGAGGATTAGATGAACTCTAGATAGGGCAAAGGACTGGAAGGGGAAAGGGAAGGGCATGGGGGTAGAAAAAACGGTGGAATGAGATAATAATGGTAATATAAATTACCCTAAGTACATGTATAAAGACACAAATGGTATGACTATGCTTTGTGTACAACCAGAGATATGAAAATTGTGTTCTATATGTGTAATATGAATTGTAATGCATTCTGCTGTCATATATAACAAAATAGAATACAAAATAAATTTAAATTTTTTTAAAAAAGAAATAGAAGTAAAAATAACAATAATGTTTGCCATTATTTCCTTGAGACCTAGAGGCAGACAGCTACTGAATATTCTGATACATTTACATCTTTTTAATATTTACAAAATATACATGTGTATATTAGGGTTCTCTAAAGGAATAGAATCAATAGGAAGGTATAATGATAAAAAGGATACTTATTAGGTTGGCTTACATGACCAGAAGCTGGATAGTCCACAATGGTAGTCTGCAGGCTGGAGAGCTGGAAGAACCAGTAGCTGCACAGTCCAAGAGGCTGAAGCCCCAGAACAAGAGGAATCAATGGTGCAACTCTAGTCCGAGACCAGAGACTTCTGGGGAATCTCTGGCAGAGTCCACTTTGGAAGAGTGAAGAAGCAAGAGTCCGATATCCTCAGATGATCACAGCAGCAATCAAGAACCCGTTCAAGAAGAATCGTTGCTTCCTTGTTGTTCCAACTTTTTTTCCATCCAAGCCATGGACAGTGCTGCCCATACTTAGGGAGAGTCTCCATTTCAGTTATCCCACATGCCAATCATTCCTAGACACACCCTTATCCATACACCCATAAGCCTCTTAATCCTTGGCATCTCTTAATCCAATCAAGTTGAAAATTTCAAATTAACCATTACAATGCAATTACCAAATTAAGACCATCATATATGCATATGTAATAGTTTGGTTGTTGGTGGAATCATTTGTGAGCACATTCTTGAAAACCAAACAGATCTGATCAATCACAACATGCTGTCCCAGGAATACAGACCAACATCCTCCATCTGTACACACCCAGTGCATCTCACTAATACCCCAAATGCAAATAATGGATGACACACGAGACCACCTTTATAGGACAATGCTCACGAAGGTATCTTAGTTGTACATGTCATGGGGCTCCTCTGAGAAATTCACTCAGGGAGTTGCAACAGCATTTTCCTGTTTGATACCAGTGTAGAGCTTGTTTCAGACTAGTATTCCAATATGTCAACTACCCAGGATCAGTGTGAACTCTGCATTGGGGATTTCTGGTTCTCCTCAGATATGTGCAAAAATAGAGTGGTTGAAACAGAAACTTTGACATCAGACTGTCCCAGCTCAAGTCATGTTCTATCTCCTATTAGCTGATGTGGGTTAAATTACATAACCTCTCTGAGCCTCTGTACTGAATGACAATAGTAGCTACCTCTTCGGTTTGAAGTGATGATCAAGTGAGACAATTCCTGCAAACTACACAGCATTGTGTCACTGCAGGCAATCAATCAAGTTCAGCTATAATTATTATTTTGAGGAGTTCTGGCAACAGCTTTCTACTCTCACTCTCACAAATATAATTTTCTTTTTACCTATTGATCTATTAACACAAATTCCCAAAGCAGACATTATGACAATGATTACAGAAGTTCAAAATGCTATCATATTTATATTATCACTTATTAATCACACAAAGCAGTGAAATTATCATTAACTATTTTGATTAATAAATTTATGTCAGGACTTACTATTCCCAGGAGCTTTATATGAAATATCCTCTTCAATCTTCACAAGCCTGCAAAATACTGTTATTATCATTTGCAAATAAGGAAATCAACACAGTATAAGAAATTCTCCAAAGGTCACCCAGCTCAAAGCCAATGAACCAGAGTTGCAATCCAAGCTTGTTGCACTCCATGCCCTGAGCCCTGTGTTCTAGGCCAGGGGTCATAAAACCTTCTTCTATAAAGTGCTAGATTGTAAGCATTTCAGGCTCCTGAAGCCATAGGGTTCCCATCATACTTGTTTCTTTGCCGCCGTAGCACAGAAGCAGTTGTAGACAATATATAAAATGAGCATGACTATGTCACCTAAACTCCATTATGAAACCCTGAAATCTGAATTTCATATAATAGTTAAGTCTCACAATATATTATTCTTCTTTTCATTTTTTACTAACCATTTGGAAAGGTGAAAACCACTCTTAGCCCATGGGCCACGCAGAAAGAAAATGGCGGACCATACATCCATTCCCAGAGAGAAAAAATGGTGAGGAACTGTGAGGCTCTCCAGCCTCATGAAGCAGTGTTCAGGAGAACCAAGCTACCAGGCTCCCTTCAGGTCTTTTCCATGCTCCTCTTTTGGCCTGCAACATTCTGACAATCATTCCCCTCCCAATACCTGCCCTAACCCTTGTCATCCTTCAAGCCAAACCTCGATACTACTTTTAGCAGAAAATGCATAACCCACCAGTAACAACATCTCTCTGCTAAGTTTGAAGGCCTTTTCTGTTCTCCCTTAATGCCCCGTATTTTCCCAACACAGGGACTACACACTGAATTGGAGTGGCTTGGTTATCTGCTCCAAGGACAAGAGCCTTGAAGTCCTGATTATAATTGTACAGCTTAGTAATTAGTACAGTGTATAGAACATAAGAGGAACTCAATAAAAATGGGAAGGAAGAATAAAAGGGAGGAATGGAAGTAGGAAAGTAGAGAGAGAGAGAGAGAGAGACAAATCAAAGTTAACTGAAAGTATGTGCTCTGAATGGGATATGGAGAGGCAGAGAGAATCAAGGGAGAAGCTCACACCTGGCCAATAGGACAGAAATGAAAGGAAAATCACCCAAAATGGATATGGAAACCCTGTTCCTCATGAGGGGCAGTCTGTGATCCCCTGCAAAACTGATTGTGCAATGTGTTGGGACAGGGAAGAACAAACAGAAACAAATTTCCATCAAGGTTCAGGAAAAATGATTGTCTAGAGGATCTGGGTGCCCGTAGGATTCTCAGCCATTCATATCATGTGCACTACCAGTGAAATGCAAAACGGACCTCAGCTCAAAACTTCAGATGGCTTCTTTCTTCAGTGTTATAGAAAGATAAAAGAATCTAATGGAGGACACAAATAAAAAGAAATTGAAGAGCTGGGGAGCAGAGGAGGAGGGAGGATATGCTAAAGCCTTCTTCCAACTCCTTACCAAACACTTTCCCTTTTAAGCAATCATGGGGAGGGGGGGTTGGTAAATGAATGGAACTAGAGAATATTATGCTAAGCAAAATAAGCCAGTCCCAAAGAACCAAAGGCCAAATGTTTTCTCTGATATATGGATGCTGATTTACAATAAGCAGGGGTGGGGGTGGGGAAGGGAGATACAGTGGTATTTGGGAATAAAGAGAAGGGGGTAAAAGGAGGGGAGGGGGCATAGGGGTAGGAATGATAGTAGAATAAATTGGAAATGATTACCCTGTGTGCACATATGATTACATGGCCTATGCAAATCGACATCATGCACAACCAGACAAATGAGAAGTTATACTCCTTTTATGTATGATGTGTCAAAATGCATTCTACTGTCATGTACAACTAATTAGAACAAATGAAAAATTTAAAAAAAAAGAAACCATGAGGACTTGAATTTACCCTCCAAAGTATATCTTTGAAGTAAAGAATTTAGTCATGGCCTACCATGAATGCTTCAGAGTTGGGGGTTTCTTTTGTGTGTGTGTGTTTTTCCTTGACCAGGTGCTCTATGGTAGAGTTGAAAACATCTGGAATATAAGAGACAACAATTTTCACTCCCCTGCTGACTTTCCTGCCCACCCCCCACCCACCCACTCCTGTTCTCCACAGATGCAATGTCCCAGGAATGTGCCAGCACGTGCTTCCATCAAGACTCTTTAGAGGCTCAGAGACTTGACTGCCTGTGTCTAGACCCACTCCAAATGCACCTTTCATTCATTCACTGAACTTTTGTATTTGCCATAAAAGGCACCTGTCACTGGGCAACTTGAGGAGCCAGGAAATGCCCAGCATTGTCCTCAATGCCTTGTCTACCTTTTTCTGCTCCCTATTGTTTCTGAAGAAGGAGGGATACTCTCAGATCTACCAGATATATTTTGTCAAAATGCCATTCAAAAACATGTAGAGCCATGGACTATGTATCCCAGGGTTAAGGAACTTGTTGACTCCTCTGTATGTGAGTGGGTCCTGTGGCATCCAGATGCTCTCCCAGCTACTGGGAATCCTCTGGGTTTGGTCTCTGTTTGTTGCCTAGTGTGATATTTTCCTTTTCCCTGAGACAGCTCTTATTCAATGGCTGCTTAGTCACTGCAGGAATACCATGTCCTGGCATCCTTCCCCCAATTCAGGATAATTCAGCAAGGGCACTCAGCTTCCAGTTCCCTGTGGGATTCATTGACCCTGGGTTAGGACTGAACTGATTAACTGAACTGCCTAGGCCTTCCTGCATTCCCCTGTAGATGTGGATCCAGCCACCCCAATAAACTTGCATGCCTCCATAAGCCTCACACAAGTCCCAAACTTTGCTTTCAGGAAATCTATGTGGGACACTGCTTTTCTATCTATTCAATAAAGGATCTCTGCTAATAACCTCCAGTAATGTCCATAAACACGAGTAAGGACATTGATGACACTGCCAGGCATATAATACCAGTAGAAGCAGCAGCATTAGCAGGAGCTCATGTGCATCTGAATACAGTTCAGGACACAGTTCTTCAAACACTATGAAACCACCAGTGCAGAGTCCAACAGAGTCACTGACAACTACCACCTCTGGATTGGAGCCCTGTACCTGACATGAACTTGCTCGATGACTCCAAGTAATTGTTTCTGCTGGGCCTCATTTTCTTAACCTGCAAAATAAGAGACTTGGTCTTTTTTCTCCCCCCTCCTCACTTGAAATGAATGGTATGTATGTGATCTCTGCTTTGAGAAAACAAGTCCATTTTTGCAAAACTCATTCTCTCATTCACCATGAACCCCAAACATTGATTAGGCACCTCATTATTCCTGACTCTATGCAGCGCCTTCAGCTGGCCTTGTCCTCGAGACACCTGAGATATAAGGCTACTGACACAAGCAGGGAGTCACAGCCTAGGTAGCCTTCCTAGATTCAGTGTACCTCTCCTCCACAAAAGAGAAACCTGTCATGATTTATAAGTCAGCAAGTATTGGGGGGAAAACTAGAAAAAACCACCATACATGGAGAACTGCCAGGTGTCCGTGAGGGACCTTTATCCTTTTACATGCTAGGTTATAGTTCTTTGAACTCTCATAACCATCCCTCACCATCCCTGTTCTCCAGAGAAACCTACAGAGGACCTGTGACAACACAGAGTCGGGCAACACATCCTTGGAAGTACCCAGGGTGCCCCACTCTGGTCTGTCACTCTGTCACATATGTATTTGCTTCTGCATCCATTTCCTCAATGAGAGCTGCAGAGGTCCTTGAAAGTGGACCCCGTGTCTTTTTTTCTCTGAGCACCTAATAGTGATCACCTATTACTAAATACATGCTTTAGCAATATAATTAATCAAGGTCTTCTCTTGTCATTTCTATCACATTGTTTCACAATCAGCCTTGCTTCTTCACCTCCAAATTTTTCTAAAAATGATCAGTCTTGAAACAGGCAGAAGATCAACACCAAATAAAAAAGATATAATTGAACACCGCCCCCCCCTCAACTTATACAACAGCCCCAGCCACATGGATCCTTTGACATAGAATAGCTGGCTAGCAAGCCTCCACTCTGGCCATGTCTATGAGACTGGTTCTCCTGGGCCAGCAGAGTGCAAGGGCTCCCATTGATTATTCCCAAAAATCCATGATCATTTTGAAAGTGGTTCATTTATTTAAAGGCAGTTTAAATACCTCCTTCTTATCATTTTTAACCAGGGTCACAAAAGGCATCCTAAAGATATTTGATCATTCAATTAGACTAAATGAGGCCAAAGTATATGCTGCTGCCTCAGAGGTTATCATGCTTAATAAAACATGCTTTATAAACCCCATAAAGGCTGTAACTCACTTTACAAGCAGCCTTCCCCACAACTTTAACAAAAGATGTCTGAATGTTGTGTGTGTGTATATGTGTGTGTGTTTTGTGAGTGCATGTGTGTTTTAAAGTCCTGTTCCATAAGGATTATAGCTCCCCTGCTGTTTGGAAAAGATCATTTCACTTGTAACACTAATAACTTGAGCAGGGGAGAAGCTGGCCTGGTGAATGGAATGCACTCCGCTGCACATCTTGGCTCAGCTAGAAATCGGAAACAGATGGTCCTTGCGGCTGGTTTGCCACTCGAGCCCGCTCACTGCCAGCCTGTGGTCTTCAGTGGGCTGCTGCTGGCAGTCTGTGACTTGAACATAGTAGGACAGTGGCAAAAGAAATCAAATCTTTTCCAATGAGCAGCAAGTTATAATGAAATTTGACAGATCTGACATTCTATACCTAACATCTAGTTAGAATATATTAACCTTTTCTTAAGCGCCTCGCATAGAAGTTGTGAATATACTTATTAGAGGGTTGTGCTGTGTGTGTTTTCTTTTTTTTTTTTTTTTTTTAACGAGGGGCAGAGGATTTAGTCCAATCTCGGGTGGCAGCCGGCTAACAGAAAATGTAGAGAGAAAGTCAAAGAATTTCCAAATGGAAGTGAGACACAAGAACCGCTACCAAGAAGAAAACTCATTCTGTGCAGGATACGGCAGGAGAGTTTCTCCTGAAAACATTATCAATATTTCTCTCAAGAAAAAAAATATACACAATCAAGAATCTGAGCAATCTCTGGGCATCTCATTAAAATGGATGTGGCTGTCTGGGCCCCCCTGGCATTCGACAATTTCACCCTTTTCAGCCATAGGGTGAGGAAAGCATGCCAGGTGACTTGGTGCACCCGTTTATTTAAGTCACCACAGTCTCACCTGGTGATGATGTGTACCTGTGCAGAGGACTAGATTTCTTTCATCAAAAAAGAATAAATATTCCACCAAAGAGCTTGGCACTTGGGGGCTTCCTACGATTCTTCCTCTTACTCCAGGGCTGACGTGTGAGCACACACTCATTAGAAGGGTTAGAGAGTGATGTCCTGAACGCCATTAGGATTTTCCACCTGACTACAGTTAGAGGAAACATCTAGGTGTTAACAGTAGATAATCCCTATCCAGTACAGGCTTTTTTTTTTTTTTAATCTCAGGTACCCATTACCCTAAACTGGACTCCTCGATAGCCTCAGCAGCAGGGTACATTTCTAATTTCGTCACTTCTAACATTCTGATTATTCAAAGTGTTGAGCCCAACATTGAACTGTACAAAAGAAACACAAAATATCTTCTGCGAGCTAGCTGTAGCTGGTTGGAAGAGGAAAGGCATGGGATTTTTCTTCTTTTTTTTTTTTTTTTTTATCAAGCAGATGCAGGGCTGAATCTATGCTCTTCTTGGTTGGTGTGGATCTTTAGGCTCCTGCCCTTTGGACCCTGACCTGCCAATTGAAAATAATAATCGCCACCTCCTGGGGATGTTGTGAAAGTTCCATGGCACATCATACCGTAAATCACCTTTAAAGAAGGTGCATAGCAGGCGCTCAATCCTGTTATTGCCCTCCTTTCTTGATTTAGCAGGCAACGCCAGAGAAGTGAAGCTCTGGATTCATGTTTCCTAGGCATGGGCTTCCTTCCACCTCTAACTCTGGAACCCTAAACAAGTCACTTCACCTCCTGGAGTCTGTTTTCCTGTTTGTAGAATGAGGCTAATAATAGATCCTACCTCATAGGAACCTACCTGGAAAAAATTACATAAAGCTCTTGGAACAGTGCCTGCCCAAGAGGAAGCACTCAATCAATAAACGTCAGCTGTTAACTGTATGCTGCATTCAAAATCAAGTTGCTCTTCTAGAGTTTCACATTTTCAAGGGTCCTGGAAACAAAACTTTAAAAGGAGGGAAAAAAATTTAATTGCTTGCACTGCAAAAATTGCTATTTAATGGATGAATGAATAAAAGACATATGTTCATCAAAGACAGGTAGTGATACAGACAGTCTCTATGAAGCACCAGTGGATGATACAGATAAGGAGGCAGTAGGAAGTCAAAGGAGCCAGAAGGAAGTCAAAGGAGCCAGAGGTCCCTGTGGACTGGGGGCATTAAGTTGGGAAGGTAGATGATATACTAGAAGGGCAACAGCTTGAGCCAGCATTAAAGAAAAGTTGGGCACGTGTGAGAAGAATGCAATTGAATTCACCTTGACTAAATGTTCTGTGCCTGTTTACTAGCTTTCACAAACCACTGAAGGAGCCCCCTACTACTTCCCCAGCACTTGAATCTTATAGTTAATCAGATGAGTAAGACATGGCCCCTGCCCTCAAGAATCTCAAGGGCCAGAAGAGAAGACAGAGGCCTCTGCTCTAGAGGGGTCTAATAAAAACAAAACATCAATAACAATATGATATCTTTGATTGAACACTCATTACCTATCAGGGACCAGTCACTTGATGCATATTTTTGCTTTGAACTATGATTATATATGCACAGAAAGGCAAACTTAATAAATGCTATTGTTTTTATTTTCCTGATTAGTATGGGACACAGAATCAGAGAGGTCAAGTAATCTGGGAGAGGTTACACAGTAACCAGCAGAGCCAGACTATAAGACTTCAGAAACAGTGGTCTCAATGGCTCTATTCTCCAGCCTCTGAAAATCACTTACATCCCATTACATATTGCCTTTTAATGACATATAACAAAAACCAAAACCTCTCCTTGGTATTGTACACCTGTTGGCAGCAGAATCTCCAAAGTCTTTTCCAAATGCACTGCAGGAAAGACCCAGATGGGAACCCTCCATCCTCTGAGCTCTCTGATATTCTTCCCATTAAACAAAAGAAGGTCCTTCACTGGGGGACCATTGGCCAGGATGACCAGAGTGAGGCTGGAAAGTGACATGCCCAGGGTGTCACATCAGGAGAAGTCAGTTCCTTTTGTCATACTCCCCATCATCCCTCTGTTCCTGGCCACCTGACTCCAAGGCTAGGGCATCTCACTTCTTATAATGCGTGCTCAAAGGAAATAAGAAAGCCAAATTCTGACGGGCTTATTTCTTGAGGGGAGCGCTGTTTTTGCCTTAGATTCATTCACATACACTGGGAAGAAATATTCAAATGACAAGAGTTAAATTCAAAACATGTAGCCGCTCTCTGTTATATTTTTTTTTCTGACTGAAGGCAAACCATTTAGATGTTTGTTTCCAAAAAGGCATCTGTCAGCAATCAAAGGGGAAAAATGCATAAAGCAAATGCAATTGTTTGGAGTAGCGTTTCCTGGATCATGTTAAATGCTTGAATTGCTCCCCATTATGCTCACCAAATAATTTTATTTCCCACAATAATTGCAATATTTAACATGTTTTATTTAATCTTGTTTTAAGGCTATTAACAACGGGCCACACTATGAAAGGACTGATTGCGGTATGGGGAAGAGAGAACAATGATAAAGTTAAATGCACCTAATTGTTCTGGATTTAAAACACTATTATCCAATCATAGTTATCATTTCTTTGTTCAAAACTACTGTGCCATCTCCTGCAACATCTTGCCTGGTATTTCATCACTGGCAAAGTGAAATCTGGACTCCAGTTTACTTTATGCCCCATTCATTCATAAATAATGGGCATACATAGGATGTTCTGGCTCAGAAACGTCACGGCTCTCACAAGAGATGCCACCAACTTCACAGGTTGCTGTGGAACAAACTTAGAAACTGTAAATCTGTGGGCTCAGATGTCCAAGATATCCATGTGCCTATATGCCCCCAGGAGGAAGCTGAAGGGACCCTAACGAAAGGAAACTTTGGTTTTTGGCTACTTGACAGAGGCAAGTCAGAGTGGATGATATGGAATTGCAGGCTGGTTCAAAGACAGAATGTTACTTTATTTCTTTTCTTCTTTTTCCTTTTCCATTTTTTTTAGGGGGATGCTGTTTTACATTTTGTATAAAATTTACAACTTCTTTCCTTATCTTTCTCTAGATGGAAAACTGAAGAAAGGGCAAGTCATTTTAATGACACTGCAATTGCACAAGGCAATCGATGTTCCAGCAGGCAAGCCCAGGGCAAGTGTCTGGTAGAAGGACCATGTGCCATTCAGGGGGCACTAAAGGTAACTAAAATTTCCTGTGCTACCGCAGCCACTTCTGAAAAGAGAGTGGAAACCAAGGTGATAAAGAATACAAAGAGGCTTGCTAAGAGTGATAACAGTATTTACTTCTGATATTAATTCTCAGTACCAACTCCTACCTTCTTACTATGAGAAGAAATCCAATTACAATGAGAGCTGAGAAAGGAAAAAAAAATGCTTTATTTATTTTATTTGTGGTTTACTCCTAGATGCGCTCGGCACATCAGGCTTGAAATTAGAAAACATTTCTGGTGCAACTGGATGAAATCTGCTTTAATGAAATTATTTTTGTCAAAATAACTATCTACCATAATACCATGATGCTAAATGGGTAAAATAATACCTACTAAGGAAGAGATTAGAAATAAGAAAGCAAAAAGCCACCAAATCTAACCTCTTTGGAACTTAGAATTTATGATCTGAATTAGTTTATCAAAATATTTGCTCGTCAAAAATAGGATTGAAAAAAATTCAGTGGATACCTGGGCTGTCAGCGCTTAACTGCTTTAAAATAATCACAGTTCAATCACTCTGAGAAATAGTGGTAGGTAAATTCTCCCATGCTCTGGAGTGCCCACATTGAAGGTCTTGATGTAAGAGCTATAGAGTTTCACTGGTAGGTTCCTGGGGATCAAAGAATTGCTTATGTTCAGAAAAAATTAGGAGATGTTTGGTACGCAGCTCTTATAAAGCTATTTCTGCAGTTTCTCATGTCACTTGGTTTAAAGGAATAAAATATAACAAGTTCAAGTCATTCTCTTTACTTCCTTTCCCACCCCCATTCCTTGATCCTGAATAAAATGGTTGAAATTCAGCAGTTGTCTAGAGTTTTTCTCACTTAAAAAAAAAAAATTGTTTTTACAGCCCTTCTTATTGATAGGTTCATACTGTAGTTGGTTGATTTTTTTTTAATGCTTCAAAAAAAAATAATAACATGTGGTAATCCCAATTTAAAAAAAAATGGCTGAGTTACAGTAAGGAAATCAGAAGTGATTTTCCCTGATTAAGGAGGTACCCATGTCAAGTTTAGCCTGAATTGTGTTAAACTGAATGGATAATGACCGATTATTTTCAAAGAATGGAGAAGTCCAGAATTAATTTTTTTTAAAGGCAACAGAAAATATAGGATGTGCCTCGCCTCCGATACAACTTGTAACATGTCAGTAAAGTATTTATTTACTCACATGAAAACACACATCCAAAAAAAAATATCAAAGGACTTTGAAGGCTGTCATCTCATATTCAGGTCCTTTCAGAACCAAATTAACTAATGATTTAATTTAAAATAATAATAATAAGGTAAAGAAGGAGAAATATTTCTCCCTGGAATTGTTTTTACTCCTTGGAAAACCTGTTCAGCTCTTCCCAGATTTAGTTTTAGACTTTTTCACTTTGCTTCCAACCGAGATGTGTAAGACAGCAAAACTGAACTAAACATTTTTTTTTTAAATGCACAGCTCACATTCTTGAAAAAAGTGGCTGTGAAAAACAGATACTGAATCAGACTTAAAGTCGAGGGGGGGACGGGTAGGGAAAAAAAAAAAAAAAAAGCCCAAAACATTGCATGATAGTCTCTAAGCAGTTCCATCTGTCAAGCAGAAATTTTAGGCTAATAGCCTGTGGCGATCTCCCTCCGCAGTCCACTACCTGCCTTTGTCCTATTAAATCTCTTTATTCTCCTTAAAAAAAAAAAAAAAAAAAAAAAAAGAGGGGGGGATTGGTTGTTGGAAGGAAAGGAAAAACCTTGCAGACCAAAATCATCTGAGTGATGAAGCCCTAATTTTAACCACCTCCCTTTGATGTGTAGCAGTGGGCTCTTGTTTTTTAAAAAGGAGAGAGGAGACAGTGCTAGCAGCAGAAGACTTTTCATCTCCACTTCACCTTGCCACTGGGTCTGTGAGAGATTGGTTCATTGTCAAGGAGATTTTTTTTTTACCCATGATTCCATATGGTATGGACCGGACTACATGTTGCCCCACATGCCACTGCAAATGTTTTCTCAATTAGGTGTCTTATCTCCCGTGAGTTAGCATCAGATGAAGCTTGCTGACAGCGTAATGGCAGGGAAAGCTTCCGACGGCTCCATCAAATGGCAGCTCTGCTACGACATCTCGGCCAGAACTTGGTGGATGGTGAGTTGGCAGCGGGGACTGCCTTTTTTTTTTTTTTTTTTTTTTTTCCTTTTCTACTTTCCCTCCCTCTTTGACAAAATGTCCCAGACCTCACATTCATCAAACTCACATTTGATTTTTTTCACACTCTTCAGTGAGGCAGTCTCACACTGCTTCCTCTTGCCACCCTCCCTCTCTCTCTCTCTGCCACTCTGCAACTTGAGTTCTCAGCAATGCTTGCCCTTGTTTTCCATGGGACAGTATTTGAAGGTTGCTATTTTTTTTTAAAGAGTATCAGAAGTTTTAAGGTGGAAGTGTGGGTATTTTTAGCCAAGCCGGTCTTGGGGTAGAAAATGAAATGTTTCTTCTGCCCCCCTCAGCTTTTGCCCCTTTCTCTAGTTTCACCGCCCCTTTAGTTTTGTTTTCAGGGACTAGCGGGTGTGTGGTTTTCCTTGGCTGTGGTATTTTCTTGGGATGCATGTTGGGCACTGGGGAGAAGCAAGCCCTGAGTGAATCCTGGTCTTGCCCCAGTAACTGGGTTGCTTGAAGTCACCTGTGAAATTGCCCTGGGTCCCCCCCCCCCACTCCCTGTCTCCCATTAGGGAACCAGTAGCTCTCATCTAACTTTTCTGCATTTATTTATGTCAGAGTTCTCTTAAGAACTCTAGCTCTGAGTGGAAAAGACCCACACCATCCTATCTTTTTAGTTACTGTGGATACAAATAAAGTTTTAATAAAGTTCTATCATGCGCCCGCAGAATGAGTTAACTCACATGTCATGGTCAACCAGGCCAGACAACCTTTGACTTCTTGGATCTATAAGAGGTAGAGTGGGTTGGGAGGATGCACAATAGCTCATTGTCACAGGAGAGGCAGGTCCTGTGAGGAAGAGAGTCCTCAAATCATTACTGCCCTCGTTAGGGTGGTGTCCGTTAAGGATTAATTCGTTAGCAGTGCATTTCTAGTTTTCCGTAATTATTATTCTTGCGGCAAGCGTGAATTCTTCCAGGGAGTGAAAAAAAAGTTTGCTGCCAGGACAATGAATGTATTATCCGTTCCTAACTGGACCGTGAACTTCAGCTCATTTCACATAGATATCAGTTTAAAAAAAAAAAAAAAAGACAGAGAGAGTAATGTTGAAGGGGGAGACTGGCGAATGGAATTACAAAACAGGGCATGGCCGCTTTCACTGTATAAGCTGCAGAAAGAGTTCTCCCTTCCCCTTCCTGGACCAATGGTGGTATCATTTTGGCAAGTTTTAGGAATTCGGAGGACTGAGAGACAATTAAAAGTGAACTACCGCAGGATTCTATTCGGCTGCTTCTTGGGATACAGTGTGTCCATTCCAAGGACTTGAGTAAAAGTGGTTGTGGGTATGTGTGTACATGTGCGTTTTAACTTGCAATTTCTTAACTAGACCTTAGAAACTTTACCAGTGATTTCAGGACAATGTTACATGCAGCTTTTGGCTAATGTGACTAGAGGTAGACTATCCACTTGGACCCTGAACTTTTATTCAGGGCATTTATTTTCCCATTAGCGTTCCTGCTAGCCAAAAAAAAAAAAGTGGTTTACTTGTATGTGCTGATGTTGCCTATTGCTTTACCTTCTGCAGCTTGTTAAACATTAGAAATGAATATACTGATTGGTTTGGCTATTATTTTCCAGGCTAAGTTGTAAGCTTAAAAAAAAAAAAAAAACGTGCTGATGTCATATTCTTGTGGAAAGATTCTACTTCCTTGCATTTCAAGAGCTCCTAGATTTTATAGACTGTTACTTTTTATGGCAAATTGTGTCATCTTTTTCATTTCTTGCAAAGATCACCAAATGTTTCTTTTTTTAAACTTGGAAAACTGTCATTTCTTTTTTGTAAAGTTTACTTGGAAGTTGCTTTTCATTTAAAATTATTTTACAGATGTTTTACCGCCGGGAATATAACATGTAAAAGTGGTGGAAACATTTAGCAATGCAGTTGACTAAAAATAAACAATGCTGAAAGCTCACATGCTGCTGTTTAGGCTGCATATTGCAGGAAAGTTTCTCTCTACTTCTCTGCTTCTAGGGCTTTGCTTTGAAAAGGGTGAGAAATCAGAGCAATCTTTACAGAAGTTACCCTAGGAGATAAATTGATTTTTTTTGTTTGTTTGTTTCCCTTAAAGTTGACCACATGCCATAGCATTTTAGATCTACCAGTTACAAATAACTCTGATGTAAATTTCCCACTATGGATGGGAAATTGAGGAAGGACTTTGATGAAGGGGGAGAGGACTAATTAAAATAATACACATTTCACATTTTCTCTTAGATCTCTTTCCTTAAATAGTACTCATGCCCTCTCCCTCCACATCCCCATCTCACTACCCCAAATAATTTTCCCCAAATAACTGGAAAAAAAATTAAACGTCCCCCTGGCTGATAAGATTCTCTAAGCAAAGGACAGTACAAGATCTGAGTTTCACACTAAAGGCAAATAAAGCTTTAAAATTACCTCATGTGTCATCTGGCTGCACAGACTCCGGTTCATAGTGGGAACCTCCAGCGTGGTCGTCCCAGCATACAAAGGCAACTCAGTGAATACCCCCTCCGCCCGTGGAGGCTCGGCCTCAGCTGCCAGCTCCGGGATATGCAATTTTGCTTTTTAATGAATCGTAAACAATTTGTATGGCAAATGAGTTTGTTTGTTTTAGTTTGGGGGCATATGTTGGACCAGGTTGTAGACAGTCGTTACCTACTGCAGAATTTTAGGTGAGAATGGATAGAGCCCCAGATCATTTTTATTTTTCTAAGTAATAAAGACACACTAGGATGAAAGAAACTGGTTAATAAAAGCCTGAGAATAACAACCTCTCTTTCTTTCCCTCTCTATCCCCACCCCCTCTCATAACTCCCGTTTACAGTTGGTTTTTAAGCACACTTTTTGATAACTAACTGGGAGTCGGTTGTCTAGATCAATCTTTAATTCTTTTTAAGCATAAATTTTAGCTTTGTCTTAAAGCAATGACTTTTGTTTGAGAAATGCTTATTTTATAGTGTGAAATACTGAGAAGGAATATCTCTGTCCTCTATCACTGCTTTTTGGCTGAACCTAATGTTGTCTTGAGGGACGTGGGATATAAGAAATGATACATCCATTTATTACATCCAAATGAAGCAAGATAGGTCTCTTGATATCCTAAAGTCAAATGAAAACTTTTATTAAAACCCCTGGAGTGGTAAACTACTTAGAAGTTAACAAGCGACCAGGGTTCGAGCATGTACATTTTAACAGTAATTACCTTTGGCGCTGCCACTTAGGAGAAATCTTTTGATATCTGAGCCACTTCTCTAATGCTTTAATCATGCAAATCAAGAAATAGATATTACGTATCAACTTAATCTAGCTATGTTGTGACATCTCTAGTTGAAACCTTCCCATAGTAAACTAAAGAAAACCCTCATGAAATTTTTCTCCATTCCAAATGAGATGGGAGCACCCCAGATGCGTGTCTATGCTTCAAAATTTAATTCTGTCCAGTGGAATTACCTCCATTCTACCCACACAGCACTAACATGAAGGCAGAACAAACACTCTCCTCTTTGTAATTGATTTAGTCTATGGGAGAATTTTGTGTGAATCCCAAAATACACTTGTCTTTCTTCTGCCATTCAACTTAAAAACTCGTGGTGACTATGGAATGAAGGCTACTAAATCACTCTAAAACCCGCTTCCCCCCTGCCAGGTCCCCAAGCACTGATTATGGGAGCATTTCACCTTAGAAATTGACATATAATTTTCCAAACAATAATTGTTTGTCACCTGATTTATATTTTTACAATTCAAACTTTGTATACCAGGAAAATACTTGGGCAAGAAGGATATGCTATGCCTTGTGTTGTAGATGTTCATTTTTAAGGTATACATGTGAAAATTAGCAAGATACTTCTACAAAATACTGTCTTACTGTGTTCAACAATTAAAAAAAATTAAAAAATTAAAAAAACCTCAGCTTCAGCCTACTTGCCAAATGATTGGCAACCTTAACTGCTGCAGACATAAAATTCAGAACCCATATTTCATGAAAACCTTCTGTTGTTGTTCACATCTTAATTTGTATTTACCACTTTAATTTTTAAAATGTTAATTCTCAACTGAACAACTTTTGTTAAATGGCTTTTTCAATATTCCTTTGAATACTTTGCCTAATAAAAATTTGTCTAGAAACTCTTTCATGATAATGATTAAAATAACATGGAAATTGCTGCAATGGCTATAAATGAAAAGACTCAAAAAGAAGAGATTCAAGAAATAATAAAGCATATCATATTCTCAGCACCTGATAGATTTTTAAAAGAATCCATGGAAAATATATTTATATACCTTGCATTTCAAACATTTGCACACTTTATTTTTAAGTATTTCTTGCAGAGTGCAGTGGCTCTATCTGAGCTTATTTTAAAATGCACAGTCTTTAAATTTTATCCACCATTGTAAATATGTGTATCTATATTAGTTTCTAAGAATATGCATTAACTTCAAAGGTTTCCATCTACTTTAAGCATTATTCTCTCACAGAACTAAAAATAATCAATTCTGAGTGAAATCTGAACGAGATAGAGTTTTCTTTTTTTTTTCTCCCCCATACATTAAGAAGTTATCCTTATCATTTTCTTTTAGGTTGGCTCTGTACTCCATCCTTTAAAATAGCATTTACTACTCTTAGGGAGAAGCAAATACATTAAACTATGTTCCTTTTTTTTTCTTTAAATCTAATTATGATCCCAGAGTGAAATGTGATTGGTTACCTAAGCTAGCCTATGTACGACTACTATCTTTTTAAAATCTGGATTTCCGTTGCTCATATTTCTCTTGTGAACTTTAGACAGAGAAATAAATGCTTTGTCTTATTTTCTAGTTGATTTTCCTTCACCTGTCCTGAATATTGTCAGGAATGTTTCTAATTTAGAACCAAAAGAATCAGGGGCTGATTAGAAGACAGGAAATTGGGGGATTAAACTGTCTGGTTGCACTTCCTTTACTTATCAGCACTCAGTAACTCACTCTAGATCACAAACTCACAGAACGATTTTTACAATACATTGTCTCTTCTTGGTGTTTGCACATATACAGTGCCTGTGAAGGTGTGTGTGTGCACATGCACAAGCATGCATGTATATCTGTGTGTATCTGTGTGTGCACTCATGAGTATTATGAGAAAAGAACCAGCAGCTGGTAGTTATAAGCGGATGCTTTTAAGTGGGATAGTTTTGAACCCAAAGGGCTTATATCATGGGCATGAAAGTTCATTTAAAGACTATAATCCCAGGATATTCATGAAACTTTCTTATTAAAACAGTTCTGTGAAACCAAGCAAATAGTGATGTACTGTAAGAGGAAAAGCAAGGTGCACTATTTCAGAAATGAAAAATAGATTACAGAAGCACTTATGCAGTCCATCTCTCCTCAGGTCTGCTCAGAATTGCAAATACTCATATTTTGAGTAGGGGGGACCCAAAAAAGTGTGAGGGAGTTAATCTAACAAGCTCCCCAAAGCATTTTGAGATCCCTTGGCACCAACTGAGAAAGACTGGACTCTTTCTTACGGTGACAGCAGGTCTGAATGTTTCAGGTGAGCATATTTATGAAATGGGTGCTTGGCATGCAATGAGATCAGAGATGAGAACAGAACATAAGGATTCATATTATGCCATCAGATCATTTAATATTAAAAACAAATAATAAAACAAACCACTGATCTAGATTTTTACTGTGTTGTATACATTTGCAGAGCTGTGTTCTAGAAACCAGCCTGAGAATTCTCTTTCCTGACCTCACTCTGCTCACCTATCTTGTCATCAATAAGTATTTGCTGATTTGATTCCAGAAAGCTCTCTTGATGCACAGGTAACAGTTGTTCCTGATTCTAAGAGTGGTCTCTACTGAGATAAATAGAAGGTAGAGAAGACTAAAGTGTGATATGGCAAAATGAGTTGATTGGTTAAACTGGTAAAGCTGGGGGTTAAAATATAAAGGCTAATTATGGCAGTCCTTCATTCCTTCATTTACTCACCAAAGGCATATCGGTGAGTAAGGGCCAGTGGGTACAGAATCAGGGCAGCTTCTGCCACCTGCCATTATGCAGGCTTTAAAGGTACTAAGGAACCTTGGTACCTAGCTGAATATTTCACCCTAATAGATAACATTGATTGATAACTATCTGCTAGAATCAGTGTTAGGTGCTTCATATATGTTTTTCATGGAATTCTTATAACAAGGCTACTTTACATATAAGAGAACCAAGATTTAGAAAAGGTTGCCCAAGATCATGCCTATGCTGAGGAGGGCTGCTCAGACTGTGGAGTACACTTGCTTACCCGTTGGCCCAGTTTGTCTTAAATTAATGGATAACTAGAATGCAGTGCTATTCAGAACTTTACAAGATTAGGATTATCCATTAATATGGATGCCATGTTGGGCACAAGTCTGTTTGCTAAGATCATACAGGCCAAAAAAGTATAATGTGTTGAAAGAAAGAATAGGACACGAGTATAGTGATGCCCAGCTCATTTTCCAAAAGAGTTGTCCATATCCTGATATGCAACAGAAAAATCTAGGGTCATCACCTTCTAAAGAAACTCAAGAGAGACCTGAGAGAATCTGCAAAGAACTCATCTAGTCATATGAAAATACACTGTTCCACCAGAAATTGCATGGTTCAGGGAAACTCAGTGTGTTTAAGTTCTTGCTAATATTAGGGACATTTTTCTGCAAGTACTATAATCTTTATTTAGCAAATTTCACTTACAGTTTTAAGTGGGACATACTTTTTTTTTTAAGGCCATCTTTCTACAGAAGGTTTCCTGACTTGGTGTCCCCCGTCCCTTCTCTTTAATAAGCAGAAATGCCAACAAAGAACAGTTTTGGTGTTCGATATTTTTCCTTGCCACAAGAATTGCTAATTAAGGGTTTGTACCAATGCAGTTTTCTGTAAGAGAAGACAAAATGCAGGATATATATTGCCTAATGGCAAAGATCTTAATATACTTACTATAAGTAAACATCCATTTTCCAGACAACTGCTGACTGTAAACAACGTGTCTTAGCCAGAGTTCCTTAATGATGCCACATGTTGGACATATTTTTTTTTTATTCCTTATAATCCAAGTTCCGTTTGTGATCCTTGATGTGCGCATGCTAAAACCCTGCTGGCTATTTCAGATGGATGATAATTGGGAATAATGACCAGGTCAGAGGTGGGGATGTGTAATCCTGAGCAGAGAAGCTCTCTACAAAATCAGAGTGGTGGGGGTGCTCAAAGGAGGAGGCCAGCACTGGTAAGCTGAATCAGACACTCAATTCATGCTGCCGACCACATTACCGGTCCATCTCCCTATACAGCCAAGGTGTAGACACAAATCTACACCCATCTAAGGAGTGGGAATGCTTCCATTCCTAGGATAGTCCCATCTGCCTTTCCCCATCCCCCTCCACAGATACATGCCTTTTAGTCCTGCTGATGTGATGTCTTAGCAGCTGAGTTTAATAAGCACCCCCTTCAAATGTCAGAAAGGTAAACATTGTCAGCTAAATAACTGATTGCATCCATTCATGTAAGAATCAGTTAAAATCATCATACATTGTTTGGTTGCGTCTTATTTTTAGAAAACAGTTAACTTTGTCCACATTTTATAAGCATGTGATAAATAACCTGTTAAT